CCGTTCTGACCAGTTACTAGACGGTGAAGAACTGGAAAAAAAGGATCTTTCCCTTATTTCCAAATGTAAGCCAAAGCGTTGGCAGGTTGACGTAACGTCAGCATTGTTTGTTTCTGTGCAAATAAAGTTTGCCATTTTGTCGAAAGTAAAGATGTAAAAGGAAGTAAAAAAGTGGTTTTAAAGTAAACTATTTTCTAACTTTAATGGTGTCTATAGTCCATCCAGGCTTACAGTAGATAACAGATAAGGAGGCCCTTGACCTTTAAACCCCTCTATGTCATTGAATATGCTTGGTGTGCAAAATAGGCAATTAAAGCTGCTTCTGAATCTATAAGTAAATACCAAATAGTAGGTGTGGGTATTGCCAAAGAAGTCACGATTCGATTCGAATCACGATTCACAGGCCACGATGCGATTATATCACGATGCATCACGATACTTGAATTATTGCGATGAATTGCAATATTTTCTCCTCCATGTTTTGTTTTTGAATGACTCGGCACAGTATCCCGCGGCCGGAAATGCTTGTGACACAAGGCAGCATGCGTCAACACATTTGCAGCGACATCTACTGGACTGGAAGTTGTATTACACTTATTTTTGGCTGATATTCGCTAACCATTCATGCAATTTTATTTATTAATTTTTTGAAATTAATAATGCAGTAGATCACGAAAATTAGAATCACGATGCATCATCATCACGATTATTTTGCACACCCCTACCAAATAGTAAAATATCTTTATGAACATACAAAGACAAGGATCACCATGGAAACAAGTTGAAGCCGCATCAGAGACCAGATAAATCTCAGACGTAGACATTTGTCAGGAGGTATAGGGAACCTCACGAGGACACAGGGTTTCCTACCTTTCACAGATCTATTAAAGTTAAAATGTAAAGATAAGGGCAATGGGGGATCGGGAGGGAAGGATTTTGTCCTGTGAGCAGTGGGTTGTGCCTTTGGCCATGACAATCACCCACCCTGCCTGCTGGTGGTGTTCAGCTGATGGAGCTGATGGATGACAGCCTCGCTTCTTTCAGTCGTTGGTTACCATATAGCTGAACCATCAACGTGGGAAAGGCTGAATGTGGAGTAAATACTCTGGCATCCTTAGACTTCCTAAAGACCCATTTACCATATCTCAAGTATTCTATGCATGCTATAAACATAAAATATAAACCTTATTTTTAAAAGTATACATTAACATTTAACAATAATTCATTTAATCAACCATTTTAAAGACTGCACGACTTTGCTTTAATCTCATATAATGACCATTATTTTTCCTGGCTTCAGTTACACCCTACAATGTAACTATAGATCAATGAGTGTATGGAGCAGACAGTTACGGAGCTGGAGTACTAACATGTAAATTTAGCAAAACACCACAATCATTTCCTCCAAACATCGAAGTGAATTTGCTTTAGAAAATCAAAGTTTCCTTTTCCTTCTTTAAAAAAAAAAAATATATTACCTGAAACTTGATGCACTCATAAACTTGTTGTAGGCCCTCAGTAAATCTATAATAAATTATTTGACATTTGCATAAAAAAAAAAGATATGTGCACCCGTCTACTCTCATACACAAGATGAAAGAATAGCAAAGCCTGGACATCTCTACGTCTGTAGTGTTTGAGATCCCTTGGATAAAAATGCAGCTGTCAGATGACTGATGCTGTGAGAAAAAAAAGTGGGCATCACTGGTTCCCACAAGCACACTTCTATACTGAAGCGCGGAATAAAATCATTGCACCGGAGCTTAGTAGGTTGCAAAGATCAGAGAGACAGAAGCTTAAACCTTAAAAGGTAAGAACGTCTCTGTAAGCCTCTTGATGTCTAGATCCAAGGCTTCTTTATGCTGACACCTGAGAAAGCAAACAGGTCTGGGTTAGGAATTGCTCTATATTTGGTGTTTTTTCAATCAGTGGGAAATTAGTTCTGACTTAAAGAAGTTATTATGAGCCAATATAGAGGTACTATCCTCCTATAAGAGACAATGTTACAACCAATGCCATTACATTTAATACAGTTCGATCCCTCCAGCCTGCACTTTGGATCTCTGAGTAAGACCCTTAACCCACACTGCTCCCCAAGCGCCGCACAATGGCAGCCCACTGCTCCCCAAAAGGGATGGGTTAAATGTAGAGGTAAATTTCTCCTTTTTGAGATCAATAAAGTTAAATTATTATTCAATTATTACTATTATTATTCTCTGAGAGGGGAAAAAAATAACGAGAACTTAAAATAAACATAGAAAGAGTAAACATAGGATATGTAAGAAAACTTTGGAATATGATCAACTGTCTTTACACTGAAGTATAAAAGCCTTTTTTACGTTTTGAATTCTAAAATCTTCAGAACAGGTAAGATTTCTTAAAACATCAAAATGTTGTGCAGTGTTTTCAGCATGTGCATGTGGACAGCCAGTAATATCTGCATGCTGGTAACGACTGGTACTCTCATGACTGGAGGATATGCTCTAAACACTCCCCTAAGTCCATTTTTCTTCCTCCACAAATGAGATTCATGAGCTTGGAAGTGCTCTAATGTCACATACGAGACCACAGGCACTAAAAGGAGATACATATTAAAACAGAACCTCTCTACTGGTTTGATGGATACTAAGCAAAAGTTCATCGAACTCTCAATGAGTTTTAGACAGTTATCTGAGGTAGCATCTCATTTTAGGGCTACAAACCTACAGAGGATAGAGAGCTTTAAATGGAACCATTGGAGTATGGATCCTTATCTGGAATTTAAGTATCAGTACATGCACTAATTATCAGATCCTAAACTTTTTACTGCTTAGCCAATGTGGCTAAGGTCAACCTGTCTTGTTTTATAACTTCTCAAACGTATTAAAAAATTAATAATGTGTTGTATTCCTAGATATGTCTGCATGAAATATGTCAGGCTAGACCACAAAACATGCAGATGCCTGGAAGAAACCATTGCTTGTCCAATCTATTAGTAAATTTAAAAGAATTAGTTAACATTTTTTTCAAAAAAGGCACATTTTGCTCATTAAAACCACCTATTTCAAAAGAAATAAATTAATTGGAAAGAACATTTTTTGTATGTTATAAATTTTATGTTTTAAATAAAACATTTCTTGCCTACCTTTAGGGAAAATCCAGCTTTTTTAGGCATGTCCCAATGTGCTAAGATACTGATATTGCAGCTTGAGAATTGGCCAATACCAATATTGATTCAAAACGATATTGGTATGAATCATACCAGCTTTTATCACTTATTTTATGGTGTAGAATGTTATGCTTGATCAAATAATATTACTAAAATAGGAAACAAAGTGAAAAATAAAAGGTATGAAAACAACTGACCCATTTAAAATGGACCAATAAGTTACAGAAACTTTTAACAGAAGCAAAGTGTTTCTATCAGCATGAAAATATTGGACATTTTGGATGCTGGCTGATAAATCCAATATTAGTCTTTTGGCCAATATCAGACTGATATCCGATACTGACACCAGATCGAGACATCCCCAGTTATTTATGTGAAATTATTAGAATAATTGTCATCCATTATAGGATTTAAATTATAGAAGTTAAATGAATAGTCATAAAAAAGATATCTGCAGATTAAAAACCAGGGGAAGCAAAAAAGATAATATCTCTTTTTGGATTTAAAAAAAAATCTATACTTGTTTTTAAGCAATGAGCAATTCTATTTCTACAAATTCTACAAATGTAAAAATTAATTAATTCACATTCATCTGCATGAACACTTAGACGTCATTATTCATAGAGTACTGTTTATAGAAGCTGAGTGCAACGATTAGTTACAATGGTGTTTTAGCAGTTTTTATTCAAGTTTTTTAGCAATTAACCAAATCAACAAACAATATTTTTCAGTGCATCACAGTAATCAGCAGGAAGTGACGTCTGCAGGTGTAAAATAAGGATGCCATATAGCTGCTTGCAGGTAGAGTTTACTTTGAGAAGCTATATCATAATATAGCTGAATATTCTAAATGGAAATTCTATGAGAATTATGAAATAAATACTCAGATCCTTACTAAACCTGAATGTTCCCTGGAGTTATATTAACAGGAGCATGTGAAATTAAAACATCTGAAGGATTTAGTTTTAACACTAAATATGAGCTGCTGTGCATGGTAATCATGTTAGTCCAATCATTCATTCAAGCAGTGCTTGAAGCACAGTGAAGGAAAAAAACAAGTTTTGAAGTGTTTAATTCTTTAGTAATTAGTAACTAAGAACGCAAAGGGTTCCTTGATTAATGATTTAGTTAGAAACACCTTAACTCTAAAATACAGATTTATTAAACTATTTACACATCCATAGAGAAAACCACCTCTTTTTTAAACAAAGAAACGTTAATATGACAGCTGAATTCACTCTAATGGCTTTTCAAAGTAGATATTAACTGACTCTTTGTCTACTTAAATAAAACAGCCGTACAAAGAATTAATCTAGTTTCTACTTTAATATTCTGAGCTTGTGGAACCAGTCAGCTGTACAATGGAAACACTATGCTGTGCTTTCTGTACCTACAGTGGTACGATGAAAGAGGCCATGGAGCATGTCAGTGTTTCTCTAACTGCAGCGTTAATCAGTTTCCTTCTGCTGGAGGAGGTTTTTAACCTGCACACCAGTTACCTCTTCTTCTGAGCACCAGCAAATGTTAACTGCATTTGCCCCACTAATGTCTATAACAGACTCGTTTTTATGAACCTTTGACTTTTAGAGTCCACTTAAAACCCCAAGTTGCATCTTGATAATGTCATTTGAATTAGCCTACATTTCCCAGCATTGATTATTATGGGTCGATTTCAAACAAAATGCCATTTTAGACCAAATGGTGAGGAAATGTAGACTAATTAACCTTTAAAAAAATGATTATATGTAGTGGGGAGACTTCAAAAGCATTACGGGTAAGAGAGAAGTCCACAAGTGTCCAACAGGAATGTATACATAAAGAAAGACACTTCCCAGCCCGTTTCCAGTGGTACCTGTGAGGGATTTAGAGGAGGTAGAGTCCTTTCTTCCAGGAGGATCTGATCCAGTTCCATTTACAGAGCCCTCGTAGCTAATGCAGTCATAACAAAGCAGAGCTGTTCGAGAATAAAAAAAAAAGAAAAGGAAAGAACATATATATGTAAAGAGAAAAGGGGCGATAAAATATTATTTGACGCTACAAATTTACAATAAAGATCTTTTTTTTTTTTCCATTTTAAGAATTTTTTTTTTCGAAAGCCACAGTTCTAAAAGGAACAGCCCTGTTTGATGTTATGGCTGTGTTAGCCATGCTTAAGCTCTCAGACTACCAGTTACTACCTGCACCTACATGCAATGGCATGACCAACCAGCCCCCTCCCAAAGCAGCTTAGGTATCAACTCAGTTTGAACTGGAAAGAGTTGGATTGAAACAACAAACATTAGCCCTGACACCTGCTGAATGCATCTTGCAGGAAAGACAAAAAACCCAGAAAAGAAGAATAAACAAAAAAGTTAGAGCAGCAGCGGCAGAACCATCGTAGTCCGGCAGAGGCCCATAGTAAAATATGTTAGAGCTAGAAAAACAGTTAGTAGAACAAAGGAAAAAACTGTTCTTAATTCATCAATAGATGCATTTGAGTTGTATATGAAGGAGTCTCTGCAAAACTAGAGCTGAAGGTTGTAAGGTTTAATTTCAAAGGTTTTGAAATGAAAGTACCTCTGCTGAACAGAATGAACAGAGAGCTTTTTAACAATTGGAAGATTAAAGAGAGAGAGAATGTTAAAACCAAAGGAGCACATGCATCCCTCCACTCACCACAGCCAGTTTAACTGCTTTTACTGCTTAATGCTCAGCATGAATGCCAAACATAAAGGTGGACTCGATACCTGCAAAGGCTTTGGAAATCCTCTCCTTCTTCCACTCCCACGGCTGGTCGTACTCCTCCGGGGGCCGCTCATCATCCTGGGGGAGTCTGCTTTCTCTGGGGCAGCGCAAGCGCTCGGGGTCGGGGTCTCCTCCATTTTCCGTCGGCTCATATGGCGTGTCGTAAAGCGGCAGCTGCTTGACGGACCCCTCCTTGGAACCTCGTCCACTGGACCTGATCTCTGCAGGAAAAGAAATGCATCCATCAATACTGAGAAGTTTTTGCTATAAATTGTTTGTGGTTAAAAATTTTCAGAAGTTAAAATGTAATAAAACACAGCCACAGTGAATAAGATGGATGTGAGGGGGCAAAGTCAAAATGAAAAGACTGCTTCAGGATCAAACAAAAATAACTTCATGTGGCAGAAGGATATTTTCACGTCAGTCAAACTGCAGCCAAAACATAAAATACCATCTGAAGTCATTGCAATATTTCCTATTAAAACTCCTATGTGAGGAGAAATGTGTTCTGGAAATACTTTTAACACCCCCAGTATTATTGCAAACCCTACAATAAGAAAAAGGTTTATGAAAACCTTGAAAAAATTATGCTACACCAACGTAAACTTTTCGCCATTCCATCTCATGTGCCATAAACATGTGTGGAAAAACTCCATAAGATAATTAAATTATATTCAATTCAAAAATGTTTTATTAATCCCAAAGGGAGAGTAAGTGTTGCAGTAAATCATATTTTTAAACAGGTTAATAAATAGATTCATTAGTAGCAAATATTTAGAGGGTAGATGTCAGATGCAGACAGGACTTCTTGGCTAACACAGAAAATGTGATGCAGAAACTAGCAGCGGCTTGTTAAAATGAACAAACTATCTTGTATAGCATGGTGTTGGAAGCACCGTGCTATGGGAAGGCGTTTCTGATGAGTAAAATGCTGCACAGATCAGAGTAAATGTAATTATACATCAACCTAAACCTAAAGACAAGAAAAGATTTAACACTGGGAAGGAGATTCACCTTCCAGCAAATTCTACAGCGCTCCAGAGCTTAAGGCATGCTCCAAGCGTCAGTTAATATTAAAATGGAGGATCTATGGTAAAAATCTAAATATTCCTGCTTGAGATAATTAACAAAAAAGAAATAGTTGAGATTTTAGATTCTAGATGCTGAAAGCGGGCAGAGACATCATCCTTGCTGAGACAGACGATTGGCAGTTGCAGTAGCAGCTAAAAATGGTTCTATGTTTTGAATTGGGGTCAAAACTAGGGATGTCGCCACCTGATATTGATATCAGAAATTAGTTCCATATCAGTCATAGAAACTCATCATCATTCACTTGGACTGGGTCGAGGGGCAGCAGTCTCAGAGACTAACAGGCTTCCCTCTCCCCAGATAGGAACCCTTTAAAGTTTATGTATGGTTAAAAACTTGTCAGTTTTTCATATACCTATTATTGTTGACTGTTTCAGTAATATAAATTGATCAAGCCTCTCAATTATTCCCACTACCTAGTAAAAAATAATATCATGTATGATTCATTTTATTATCGTATTGGCAAAATATTAGTACTGGTTATTATTCAAAGTTCCAATATCCGATTTACAATAGAAATAAAAAACTTTAAAATATCAGGACATTCCTTGTCCAAACACAAATGTATGGTGCCTTAGAGTTTTCTATGTAGAAATGTTTTACAACCATACATCATTTTAATTCCATCTCACAAAGTCTAATTGAGTAAGTCTAAAAACAAAGTCATATTTTGAGGTTATAATAGGAAAAAACATGGAAAGGTTTTAAGCAAAAATAAATACATTTGCATACATATTACAGTATGTTTAAACAGCCTTTCAGTAACAGATGGACTGAAAACAAATATTCTATTCAAAATGAGAACCACAATGTACTGCATAGAAAAAAACAATAACTTTATTATTTATAAATATGGTGGATTTATATCATTGTCTAAGGTGAACAAATATCAATATTTTACAATTAGGATGGTCTAATAAATCCTTATTTATTTGTGTTGCTGAAAAGTGTTATGCTAAATAAAGAAAATGCTTTCCTGTGTTTTGCTGAGTGCTTTAGATTGCAGCCTCTCAGAGGGATCAATTTGTCCCGAATCATCAGAGATGGAGAGGAAAAGTGGAAGTTGAGGGCAAGAGGAACGAAATACATGCAAAATAGCTGCTCTTTCAACATGAAGAGATCTTTATCTACCATGGTGGTTGTGCAAAAACACATGTGGGCATAATTGCTTTTCACTTTTTGTTATCTTCACTCAGTAAGAAAGGAAGCCCATATGTTTTTCAACCAAGATGTAACTTTTCAAAAACAGCAAACGGCTTCCGGACGGCTTCCAGATCACAAGCTGAGCTGTAGTTATGCCTCTTGCAACATCCACACCTTTTCTTTTTTTTTTTGCTTAATCATTTGTAGATAAAGTCCCCTAAAGGATGAGTGGGCTACAGACTGTGCTACCTCAAAGACTGTTTAAAAATGCTTTCCTAGCAACCAGAATGCTGAGTTAAAAGGAATAAATCAATATGCTCTAACAATATGAAAGAGGAAAACCTTGGATTTATATTTCACTCTCTTACACATATGTTGTAGAACTACTTTAAATCATTAAACTACATCCAATAAGCATGCCCCCTCCATTTTCTTCAGCATGTAAGCAGGTAAAAAAAGACCTGACTGCTAATGAAGCATGGTGTCCTTGAGAGCTCCCCCTCCGTTCTCCAGGCTTCCTTTACTCACATAAAGTTGTTAGGAGGCGGCACCCTTCCTCCAGGGCCATATGAAGCTGTTAGCGCCCAGCACAATCATAGCGAAAGGCAATGTGAAAAGAATGAAATATTATGCCACACTGCTGCATAATTGCCTTTTAGCCCAAGGGAGCTCTTGCGGAAAAATGAGCAATGCGTTGAGCCTAATGGAGCTACCCGCTACCGGTGATGGTTGTGGTGAGGGAGAGCGAGGTGAGGATCACATCACAATGCACTCCTGCATTAGGAAAACTTTTTGTTAAACCAGGTTTTGATCTATATAGTAAAAATGCAGATGCATCACCAAAAATAATTACATTATGACGTGTTTAAAGGTATTATACACGGAGTGAAATAAGACACATGCTGATTTAGACCATGGTGGATTAGATCTAATGAAAACTGAAAATAGTTTTTTTTGAGAAAACGTAAATAATTTAAGGCCATTAGAAGATTTTTTTTTTTTTTGGTTACAGAAATATCAATTTACAGGAAAGTATGTCCATGTCCTACACAGAGCACTGAAGAGTTGGGAGGATGAAATCAGATACTGGTCCTTTTAGATGTGTGGTTAGGTGCAACGTCCTGCTGGAAAATAAAATAAGCAACTCTATAGGGCTTAATAGTAAAAGTGAGCATGAGAATCTGGTAAATGTCTGTGCTTCCTTTGGACTTTATAAAACACATTAGACCAACATCAGGAAAAGGCTCCAAAAATATCATACACCGTGGAAATATTTAACTTTACCTTAAACTACGAGATCTGGTGTCTCTAAACTTCTATGAGTTCAAATATCTCTGCTGTCTTTACACCTTTTTTTTAACATCGATTTCCTTTCACTGTACTTTGCTTTTATATGTTTGGACACATCTGCCGTCTATTTAAAAAAAAAGAGCTTTTAAAACCTCCTTGAGGAGAAAGGCAATGATTTGCTTTTGGACATCATGTTGGACTCATTAGCTGTAAGCCAAAGGTAAATATTTGAAATATATAGCTACTGTATACTAAATGCATAAATTACATTAACAGTGACGATTAAGACGTACCGACACTTGATTTCACTGCATAAGTAAACTGCATTTCTATCATGATAAAACTGAGATCTGTAGCAGAGTTAAAAAGACAAAAAAAAGTGAAAAAGAGGTAAAGAGAAAAATCCATTCCGTTTTGTGTGATCAGATCAAGAAGTCGTGTTCGGTTGACAGTGGCTCTGTTGACCCATTTTCCCTTCCACATCCTTCCCTTCTCCTGTCATTCCTGTCATACTCTTGGGCGGGGATGCAACTGTCCAGAGAAATTATGCTGATTGACATGACCGTGGGGTTGCATGTAGGGAACACAGCTGCAGTCTGTCTTCTGTCTTAGATTTCTACTCTGTGTTCGGGATCAGAGGTCAGGCAGCCACACCCTCCCTTGTTGCCCCTCCTATCTCTCTCCTCCCCGGATGTCCTGGAGTTCCTTTCCAGATGCTGCATTTCCTCTCCCTTTATATAACTACACACAGCTCCTCTGTTCATGGCTTACAGCAGCGAGACAAGTCTGATTTATTTCCCTATTGTCACTCATGTATTCTATTACACGTACCATGACAATAAGAGAACAAGAAAGCAGTATTTAAAATAACACGCTAAGGTATTTTAAGAAGCAATTTAAAACCATCTGAATGAGAATATCTGAGAGAGGGAATAAAATATTTTTTCATATTTACGAAAATATTCATTAGTATTTAATGCATTGCAGGCTTTGAAGAATGTTCAAAATGTTTTTATTTACTAAAATAATAATTTAAATGTGAATGAAATTCAGATTCAGTTCAGGCTGAGTAACATTTTTAATGAGGCCGCTACTTTTACTTTTATTAGAGAGGCTTCATAGCAGGTTATAACTGCAGAGGACAGACAGGCAGGGAGCTCTGGATGAAATCAAACAACATTAGCTGCAGCCAACCTGGCAGCTGCATCCTGCAGCACATCCAGAGCTTACCAGACCCTGTGGTCCTCACCGTCCAGACCACTCTTATCATGATTGTCCTTGTTTTCTAACAAACTGATTGCATTTGAAAGAAAGTGGAAAATGACTGCATTAATACAATTTGATTGTTCGACTGATACTTCTGAAATGTAAAGAGAAAGTGTGTTTATCCGCTGCTGGTCTCGACTACCGCCCACCTGCACCGTTTGAAATGGAAAGGACTGGCTCTCAGAGGCTCGGGGAATATCCGGGTTTGATTGGGGGCATCTCCTGCGAGCGGTAAAGGATTAAATATAATTGACTTCACACACCTGGAAAACAATGGCCTTCTCCTCCTGCTTCAAGCTCTGAATCTGTCTTTAGAAAATGTTATCTTTTCAGGAAGGTAAAACATTAATGAGGTTAACAGAAAAACAGAGAGAACCTAGGCAACAGCACACACTCTTCATTCCCTTTAAATAAAAACCTGATTCATTGATAC